TGCGGCCGGCGGGCGTGCCAGCGGCCAGGCTGTGACACCGCAGTGCATGGTGTGGCTGGTGGGAGCCTGGGCCTGCAGTGTGAGCTGAGGGAAGGCGAGGGGATTTGGTGAGCCAGTCACCAGAGAGTCCCCAGGAGAGTGGTGTGACACCCCCCCGCCCCCAGTCCCCATCACCCTGCTTCATGCAGCAGGGGAGCAACTGTAACTCACTGCCCCGGGGGCCGCGGTCCTTCTCGGCAGTGCCAGAGCTGACCTGGTGTTTTCTCTCTTGCAGGATATTGGCAAAACCCTGAGCAGGTACGAAACGGGCTCAGCGTTGCTCTCCTTCCGCATGGCTCTTCTGGGCAGAGGTTTGCAAATGCTGCAGGCGGCCGAGCAGCAGCAGCAGCTGGGGGGGGGGGAAGGTGGCTTTGCCCTGCTGAGTATTTGGAATTTAATGTGATGTTATCTGGAGCCAGAGGTCATTGCACACCTCTTGAAGACGGGGTTCCCATGCCAATAGCTGGGACACAGCTCCCCTGAGTTCTGTTGCTGTAGGGGATTTTCCCCCCGTTTCCCTCCTGGCCCCAGGTGCTGGCTGACTGCTGGGGTCAGAGCTCCTCTCCGTGTTGTTCCCCCCCCAGCTGCGAGGTGGCGAAGGCCCCAATCCCGGAGCTGGTTTCCCCGGAGCTGCAGAGGACCGTTAAGAGCCTCTCTGAGATGACCCAGCTGGTCATGGATGTGGTGGCCGAATTCAAAGGTAAAGCAAAGAAGCGGTGAGCGATGCCTTGCTGCGTAGCCGATGTCTGGGCCCCAGGAGGGCGTGCTGCTGCCCCGGGGCACCGGGCACTGCTGTCCCCACGCCATGCTTCCCCTTGGCTTGGCTGCAGTGGGAGATCCTCACCGCCCACGGCCTCTGCCTGGGGCTCAGGAGCAAAACACGCCTGCTCCAGACAGGACCCGTCTCTGAGATGGGCTTTGCTGGAGCTCAGGGCTGGGGGAGCTGGGGAGCCAGGCTCCACGTCTGGCTTGCTGTCCGGATGGGGAGCAGGAAAGATGCCACAAGAGGAGAGAGACTCACGCATCTTCCTTTCCTTCCTCTAGTGAAGCTGCTGAGCGAGATGGACAGAGAAAGGGGTAAGTTTCTGGAGCTGATGGGCACAAATGTGGGAAAAAAGCTTTCTAGAATGAGTTTCCTTATGTCCTTGGGGCAGAGATGGGCTCACACCACAACATCTAAATCCAGGGTCTGTCTAAAACCGGGTCCTTTTGTTCTGACTAGGCCTGCTGTAAAAATCCTGGTCCATCCCCATGCCAGTCAGTACCCAGTGACACTGTCCTCTAACACCAAACGAGGGCCAGGGCAGCGCGAGGCCCTCGGCTTCCCTGTCTCTGGAGATTTTATCTTCTTTTGCTGCGATGTGTAAGACTGTGACTAGTTAAGCAAAGGGGCCCTACTCATTTTGAGCTGGCTTTTAGGCACAGGGCAGAAATGCCTTTGTGGATGCCCGGGGTCCATGCAATCCTGGCAGCGTCGCAGGTCTCGGGGCTGGCTGGAGCTGTTTGCACTGAGGCCGGTCTCTGCCCTCTCAGTTTTTGGGATGAGGGACCTGACACACAGGATGGGCGGTGCCTCAGTTTCCCCCACCCTGCGGTCCCCTCTGTGAGCCGGGCCCCGGAGGAGTGGGTTTAGCAGAGGGCCTGGGGTGGTGGCACTGCGCAGTGACACCTCTGTGGCCTTGTGGGATGGCCGCGGGATGGCAGCAGAACATCCCACATGAATGGGCGGCTCCGGCTCCGCAGTGAGATTGCCTGGTTACTTGGCGGAGCGGGGTTAGGAGCTGGTTTTCCCTTTGGTGAGCACTCGTCACCCTTATCACCGGAGCAGGGACTGGCCTGGCACCACTGCTGCCTTGCAGGCAATGCTTCCTCACACTCCGGGGATATATTGCTCCCCCACACCCAGCCTGGCTGCAGCCCCATCGCACTTAGACCCAGCAATATCCAGTACAGAATTAGCAAAGCAGGTTTAGCAAAGTCCATCGCGTCTGTCCCCTGCGCGTGGGGATGCTGCCTGGCTCAGTCCTGCTTCAGGGAGCGTTGCTTTGCCCCTGGGTCCCAGTGGGGAGGGCAACGAGGGCCCCGTGTCCTGTGCTGCCCGAGGGGGCTGCGGGTGCTGCATGTGTGCGCTCGCAGGGCACGAGTGCCCACTGTGCTCACAGGACACGTCCCAGCCCCGTGGAAGAGGAGGGAGAGGCGCTGGTTCGCTCCTCAGCGGGCAATGGACTGATGTTTTTCTGTCGTGCATTAGTGAAGGTGACACTGGACCCAGAGACGGCAAGCCCATACCTGATCCTATCGAAGGACCACAAAACCGTGCGGCTGGGAGAATGGCAGCAAAAGCTCCCCGACACCCCCAAGAGATTCACAGGCAGCCCCAGCGTACTGGGCTCCGAGGGGTTCACGGGTGGGAGGCATTACTGGGAGCTGGAGGTAGGGGATGGGGACAGCTGGGCCGTGGGGGTGGCCGTGGAGTCCGTGCGGAGGAAGGACTCGCTCACCATGGCCATGGGGAAGATCTGGGCCCTGCGGCTGGACTGGAATCGCCAGTACACGGCGCTCCACGTGCTCCCCGCCCCGCTGGAACTGGAGCAAGAGCTCCGGCAGATCAGGGTCCACCTGGACTACGAAGCGGGCCAAGTGACCTTCTACAATGTGGAGAATATGATGCAGATCTTGCAATTCAAGGCCTCCTTCACTGAGAAGGTCTTCCCATACTTTTGGCTCTGGTCACAAGAAACCTACATCCAGCTGTGTGCCTGACATGGTCGGATGCCTCCCGGTCCCCTGCCCATGCCTTTGGCTAGCTGAGCAGGCAAGAGGTGTGGGAATGATGCAGCATCGCGTTGCAAACTCACTGCAGCTCTGCCTGCGCTGGATCCCCTCTGCACATTGCTGCATCTCCTCCTGCCAAGTCCTTTGGAGCATTAAAGATGTGTTGTCCTGCCTGGGGGTGTCTGCATGCTGGTATCCTAGCCAGATCTCAGTGACGGTGTCGCACCTGTCCCTGAGGGCACTGAGGACACACACAAATAAGCAGGAGAGAGGCTGGGAAGATGCTCTGATTGCCCATGCCGGTCTTTGGCAGCGCTGCATGACTTGCTTTGGCTCGGTGTGGTGTGCTGTGTTGTAGGCAGTATGGGAATGCAGCCACCCCACACCCAGGAACTCCCGGTGGAGCCACAGAGCTGCTAATAGTGGTGATAACTGCTCACTGTAAAAACTGTAAAAAACTGATGCTTGAAAGGAAAACGTTCAGGGAGGGGACAGGGCTGATAGGAGAGCTGGAGTGAGGGCACAGCCCAAGCCTCTCCAGGCTGGAAGAGTGGCAGCGACGGGGGTGTGATGGAGATCTCTGAGATCCTGGGTGGTCAGAGAGGGAGCAAATGCCATGTTGTCTAATCCAGGAACCAGGAGCATAGCGTGAATCTGGTGGGTGGCAGGGCCTAGGCAGAGGGACACGGGTCGTGTCCTGGGGGTGTGGGATCCCCTGACAAGGCCTTTACATCTCTGTGTCAGGCTGAGAACACTAGACCCAAGATCAGCCCTGCAGCCAGAGACAGCAGCCTCTGAAACCACCACAGGGAGATCTGGCAGAGCGCATCTGCCAGGGGCTCGGCTCAGCAGCAGAGATCTGCAAACCCTTGTGTGAGGAGAGGATGCACGACCTGCTGGAGCAGCGCTGCGTGTCCCGAGCACCTCACTGTATCACCCTGTTTCTCCACCTGTAGAATGAGACCGTGTGTTTTCGTGGGCGCCCCCCCCCCCCCGGCACTTGCAGTGTCCACAAGTGGGCAGGCCCGGGGAACGACCCACGCAATGAGTCCCCTCCTTTCCACAGCACAACCATCGCTGCCTCTGTCCTGCTCTGTGACCGTAGGCAGGGGACAGGGCAGGGAAAAGGCAAGGTGGGGCAAGGGGTCCTCTGAAAGCTGGGCATGTGTCCATTTTTAAGGCCGATAGCAGCGCCTGGGTAAATACCACAGTCTCTTGCAGGTAGAGGACACGAGCAAGGTCTGTGGAAGTTATGTGGAGCGGCCCGGCTGCGCCTGCTTTCTGCACTCAAGTGTCACTCAAGTGGCATTCAGGTGTCCCTTCTCCCGCTCCAATTTCACAAGTGCCGTCGCCCCACGAACCCTGTCTCAGCGCTGCAGGGACGCACGCTGGCTTCTTATTTTCACGCTGCCGCCCACCGAACACCTCACGAAAGCAGCCGCCGCTTCCCCCGTGACGCTGCCCGTGCACTG